CAAAAAATCCCTAGCTTTAAGGTCATCCTCCATCTCTGCTACACCTCCGGTGATTGAAAACTCAATACCATGGTTTCTATCGTGGCTTTCATCGTCTAGCACCACCACTCCCCCCCCATCTCCCCCCATCTAGCCTCGGCTACAGGAGGTGGGCTCGCTTCCCCTCTCCCTTGGGGTCCTGATTTATTTCTTGATTCCCTTGGTTCCATCCCTGGTTGAGGCCTCCCATCTTCGTGATGTTTCCCCTCTTCCTACCCTGCCTCGCTTAGGCGTTGGCATGGTTGGCAACCCCCTTTTCCACCTTCAACAGATGGCCGGGACTACAGTTGCAGTAGGAGAGAACAGCTTACAGGCTACGGTCGATCTCTCCATTCTCTTGCCCCCGTCAGAGGCTGCCCAGTCAGACACGAACGCGGTTACCGATAGTTGTCGTTCACAGAATTGGGTCTACCCCTCCTCTACTCTTTGGGGCCTCTTTGGCTGGCAGGTGGTGGGATCCCTTCCACTACAGTGACGCTATCTCTCCCAGAACAAGGGAGTACATGAGAGACGCGGGAAAATACTTGCTTCGCTTAGGGCTCCTCTCCATGGTCGGATCGGCTGGTACCCTACTACCACCTCCTCTCAAGCTGGCACCTTACTGCCTCAATCGTCGAACGTCCCAGAGGATACACGGTCGCTGGCACACCTGCCACACACCTCCTCTCCTCACTTCTCGGTCACCACCTTCGGGGTGGTTTCCCTTATACCCTTCACGTCCGGGGCTTCGGCTCCCTCCTCCTGGCCCTCGTCATATGGCCTAGGGGTTCCTATATTGGATTTGAGTTGTGATCGTTGGCCCTTAGGGGTTCGGTTTGGGTTTCTGCCTTTACGTGTTTGTTCTTGGGGTTTTTGTTCAAATGTGTGGGTATGGCACTATCTTAATAACTTTGTACGAAAGTACGACACAGTAGTAAGAGTATACTGCGGGCACGCTAAGCTAGGAGGAGTTTTGTATGAAGGTAGATTGGTAGTAGTTCTTGTCCTTAATTCTCTTAAGCGAGATGGGTGGTAACCCCTATTTATACAGGTGCGCATCCTTCGCGTAACTAAGAGGAAATGTAAGGGAAAACATAAGTATCGACATGTTTGACCGTAACATAAGTAGGAAAAACATAAGTGCGAACGTGTTTGACCCTAAAGAACTGCCAAGGAAATCCCATAAAACATGCGTAAATCTGAGGTGGTGTGAACGGATAATTAAAACATAATTGTAAATCAAATGACCGATGACCATGCATGATGATGCATAAAATGTAAGAAATAAACCCGAACACCAGATAAGAAAAGCACGCCATAATCCCCTAATCGTATCATGAAATATCAATGAAATATATGTAATACATACTCCGCTGTAGTAATGTCCGTGAACTAGAAATAATACTAAGTAGAGGAATATACGATATTATCAAGAAGAATATACATATGAAACGAATTAGAAAATTCAACAGTTTTGGCGGGTTCTTGGTTCAATGTTGGGTAGTTAGCTTTCTTTTGTCGCTTGGCGGTGGGGGTTATTAGGTGGAGTAGTTCATGGGAAGGATTATGGGCAGGAGTAGTTTTTTCTACCCCAGAGGGTTCTTTTAGCTCTGTCGTTCGGCCTGGTCTGGGGGGGGGGGCGGTTTTTTAGGCGTCATAGCTAGCGCTCCATATGCCTTTTTGTCCCATAAACAAAAATTTAAATAAGTCAAACAAAAAAACAAAAAAAAAACAATCCCTAGCTTTAAGGTATTATTAGTGACCAGAGAAGAGATTTTATCAATATATTCATTCCACTTTATACTCCTATCTTATAAGCCTTCTTAAATATTTTCAGGACAGAAGATTATTGAGCTTAGAATATACTCACTTGTCTTTAGAGTTATCTATCTTCTAACAGGTTTGCTGTAGGATCTATAACTTATATAATTTAGGTTTTCTATCATCCTGAGAAGAAAATAGCACTGAAACCATCTTAATCCTAACCTGTAGGTCTAAATTGCATGTTCTATATACTTAAAGTATAGCTGATAGAATACTTTTTAGTATCTTACATCAACAATCCAACTTTTCAAACTCTATGGAAAAGTTATTGGAAAGAGGAATTATAAATAACAATAAAAACCTAGCTATTGTTCTCCTTCATCCTCTCTTTAACAGCTAGGGGTTTTTTTTTCTTTATTCAATCGGCTCTGTGGCTGTTGAGCCTATAAAGTTTGAGGGTAAAAATTCTAGTGCACATTTTAGCCAGCTCGAACCATGCTGTGCAGCGCAAAAGGCGGTGAGATTCTGGTATGAGTGAAGGTATATGGTAACTCATCATACGAGTCATTTCCGCCGGTATGAGTACCATATCATCTCTCCATTTTCCTTCCCCTCCCCTTCCCTTCTCTCCATCCCTTCCACCCCCCTGCTTCCATCCCTCACCACCACCACCGAAAGAAAGCTTCCACTTCCCAACCCAACCCAAACCAAAAAAAAAAAATGACAACCACCAAACCCCCAACCTACTACTTTGCTTATGGCTCGAACCTCTGGCAGACACAGATGCACCGCCGCTGCCCGGGGCACACGTTAATCGGCACAGCACTGCTCCCCCACCACCGCTGGCACATTAACACCCGCGGCTACGCAAACCTGGTCCCAACCACCACTGCCAACGACGACCACGATGCATACGGTGTTGTCTATACACTTAGTGAATCCGACGAGGCGCAATTGGACCTGAGTGAGGGAGTGCCGTATTGGTATCAGCGGGTTAAACACCCGGTTAAACTCCTCCCCTCCACTTCCACTTGCTCCTCCTCCCCCGGAGGCGGAGAGGGAGAACAGGGGAAGGGGGAGGAGAGAGTGTTGGAGGATGTGTTGGTCTACATGGACACGATAAGAACTAGAGATGGGCTTCCTAAAGAGGAGTATATTACCAGGATTAATAATGGGTTTAGGGATGCTGTAGGAATTCCGAAGGAGTGGGTGGAAAGGTATGTCAGGAAGTACATCCCTGCCGGAGTGGAGGGCACGGCGGAGGATCCATTTTTGTTCAAGAGTGAAGGGGAGGTGGAGATCGCTGTTGGGAAGGAGGTTTAGAGTCACAGTTCGGGGTCGGACGTGGATGGATGGATAGATAAATACTTTGGTTGGGTCTTTACGGGATTTTCCCTTTTATCTCATTTTACTTGCTAGATGGCAACCTTCTTTTTTCTGAACCATAAACCTAGTTTGTAATACCAGATATATCATTGCACTATTGTATTTCCCTCCCGCCTCCCAAGCTGTCCACAGACTGAAAACGCTTGGCGGAGAGAATTTATATCGTACAAGGGGATAGACAGGCCGACGCCCGGAACATCTCCTGACCAACTCCCCTCCAAATTACTTCCTCCACTTCTGCGCAAGCCCATGCATCCTATCAATCAGCACTGGTAAAACACTGTTCATGCTATCGTCGATCAGAATCCTAAAATGCTTGATGGCATCCTCCTCCGTCATCTCCAGACAAAACCTATCCTTAACCTTCAGCACTGCCTTATCAGGCTCCAATCGGATGTCCGGAATATTGGCGTCGACCATCAGTGCGAACAAATTGAGTATCAGGTTCGAGGACTTGCGCAGCGTGGTGTACGCCGTGTAGCAGTAATTTTTGAAATCGTTGTAGTGCCGGGAATTCGCACCACCCATCCCGTCCACCATTTCTTTGCAAAGTTTCATGGCGGGGGCAAAGGGTTTTGGATCTCGGCCGAGGATGAAGCCAAAGTCGGCGTGGAAGAAGTGGCCTATCACATCGTTTGTACAACATTCCATAAGAAATAAGAAATGAAGACGGGACGGGAGAGAGAGAGTAGTATACCATCAGGTGTCAATAGAAGATTATCTAAATGTCGATCGCCAACACCCAGAATATACGTAATTACGCAATACCCAGCACAGCTCTTGACATACGTATCCATCACCTCAGCCCTCACTCCATATTCCTGCATGGGGTCGGGATTGTTCGACCTTAGGTATGGTAGGATTCCAGCCACAAGGCTTACACCTCGCTCGATACTCGCAAGACTCAAGGAGTCGACGAACTGCACAACACCAGTAAATGCGCTAGTGGCAAGAATTCGATAGGGTGTAAGCTTCAGATCTAGATTTTCCTTCCTTAGAAGATTGTCCATCAAAGTTACAATCTGGATGACCAATTGGTCCTGACGAAGGTCGTCACCGGTCTTGAAAATTATAGGATATCTCTCGCCCTTATCCGTCTTCAGATGTATGAGAAGTGGGAATAGTGACGACTTAAAGACATTGGAAGACTCTTGGAAGTAAGGTTAGCAAGGATTCACGCGACCTGGAGGCGGAAATGAATATGATACCCGGAAAACACCCAACAACCGTAACACTAGGATCTAAAGGCAAAGGAACTGGCTCAAAAGAGAGCAATTCATTCTTGGGATCGGACAACGCATGTTTCAGGCGCTCAACTTTCTTGGGCCGGTTATCTTTGTTGCTTTGTATCTCCTTTGATATTTCACCAATCCCGAAAACAAATTCTGCCTGTCGTTTCAGGATCGCCCGCTTTTTATCACCATCCGGCATTCTAGTCAGTGCAACCTGGAACTGGTATGCAACTTTGCTGAACAGCTTCTTGTACTCCTGATTGGTATCCTCCGTCTCAACCATGAGATACCAGTAGAAAAAGTTGCCCAAGGTCTCGTTCATGCAAGCTCTCGAAATCAGGAAGTTCACTAGACTCGAGTCTGCAGCCGCATCTGGTCCTGTCTCTGTTCTGATCTTCTCGAATTTGAGCGCTTGTACCAGCTGCAGAAGATATAATTGCAAATCCTAGAATATGCGTGAGACGGACACAAAAGGGCAAGGAGGCATAAGGGAGCATACGTTATCATCAGCCTTCCTCAGCCGATCCACTGCATACGCTCTAACAGCAGGATTATCAAATCCAGGACCCAGAAGCTCGAGGGCATCATCAACGTCAATCTCGGTCCATTTGGGTAACAATTGGGCAGCCTGCTTACTCTCCGCCGGATCCCCCCAAGCCACGCTCTTGAGAAACTTGGTGAGCCCCCTCTTGTCCCTCGTAAGGTAGAATCTGAACTTCCACAGCAAGTCCTTCTCCGCACCAGCAAGGTCGTGCGTCGGGCTATAATTCAGTATCTCGTTAAGCTCATCACGGATTTTAGCATTCGGCTTCAAGTCCCTATCAAGAGGGCCATTCCTGTGAGACCGGACAAGCCTCCGATGCTTAGACTCTGCCGGATTATCCCGAGGGTTCTCAGGGTCGTAAACCGGCATTATCATCCTATCAGAGCTTGACCCACTCCCGCTCCCAAGGCCGGCAGCCTGACCCGAACGCTGCGGGGCCGAGGAGGAAGGGACTGTGGAAGTTGTGGGCGAAAGATTCGATGGATCCCGGCGATTATTATTCAAGTATTCAAAGTCGGCAAAGACAATCGGAAAATCAAACCTGGGAAAGTCGATGAAGAGGTAATGGTCGTTCTTATTCTCAGTTGTAGCTTCCTTGTTGATTCTTTCTATTTGGCGAAACGCTAGGTTATCCAGCCAGTCTATTCGGGGGAGCTCCTTAAGCTCATGTTTCTTGAAGAGCTATCCCAGCGGTTAGCGCTTGTCTGTCTGTTATGCCCGAACAACGATAGGGGGACCTACCTTCTCGAGACGGTCCATCTCACTATGCGATTCAATAGTGCTTGGGGTAGTAGTGTCACTCAGGCCATCGGCTTCAACTCCAAGCCAGACCTTACACTTCTGTCGGCCTTTCTTGAGGTTACTGTAATTTGAACGGCATTAGGCAAAGGCAAAGGCCTGCAATATTGACCCAGAACGTACTTATCCTTCTCGAACAAAGCCACCGTAGTCCCCCCAAACGGCACGGGCCTGCCTGGGCCAGCCAAATCCCATAATGTGATGGCGAGCTGTGACGACAAAGGTAAATCGCAATACTTCACCGGCACCGTGAGCCATTCTGACCACCTATACCCATTCCCCCATATTAGCCCCGACCCGGGAGATCCCATCCAAGAGAAAAGAGTAGCACTTAGTAGCACTTGCAATCTCTGATTCTTAAACGCTTTGTAAGAGGTTTGTACCGGAACCGCTAACGGTTTGCTATCAGCAAACAGCTGCGCAGTAACATACATATCCGAATACGGCCTTTATCCCATCAGCTCACCCCACCCCTTCATCCCTCAGGAATAGCATGGAAAAGAAGGGAGAGGGGAATACATACGCCGTATTCGACCCAACGTGCTTTAAACTAGGGTCCGCCATAAGTGTCGTATAAGCTAGGGAGAACCGTTGTCCTTCAAGTGAATCACTATAGCCATCGTCACCACCATCAGCATCGGCAGGGCCAGCCACGGGCCTAGCTACGGGAACATAGGAAAGGCCCCTCACATCCTCACTTCAACATTCGTCCCCAGCGACCTCGAGCTCGCAAAAGTAAACGGATCCATAGCTGGTAAGGGAACAAGAGCGTGTCTAATCCAAAGCTCGTTCCTGTGATTGAGATTCTAAAAGCCAAGCCCAACCGGAAGTTCCCCTCCCCCACACCAGAACAGGACAAAGCTGAGGAAAGAGAAGAAACAAGAGGAGGAGAAAAATAAGAGAAAACTCTATATAGTACCCGATACTGCGCAAAGGGTGTGTCGACCGAACGGCGGTAAACGGTGGTAGTAATTTGATTGCGGGCAAGGAAACGAGAGATGTGACCCCCCCAATTCCCTTTCTCCTCGCGGGATAACTTAAACTAACACCCAAGTTGACAGGTAGTGAATGTCTCGGGTTCGTTGTTAGGGTAGGCACGGCAGTCCATAGTACTGAGTACGGTTCTCGAGTGCTCGTACTAGTAGACTATTGTACTCGTACAGCGGAGCCCTGTACTCGAGTACAGTACTCGTACGCAAGAGCTTGTCGCATAAAAAAAAAGCAACCAACGGCAAGTTAGCTTACAACGCGCCGAAGTGGCGCGATCTTCCTCACGTGCGGGGCACTTCGAGGTTGTCCCAAAGCGGCCTAGTGCAGAATAGGAGAGGATGATATGCTATCGTCATGTGCTCTCACTCGCGGTCAGAACTATTGTTGGAGTCACGGGTCACGAGGATGAGGCTGTGGAGGGTAAGAGTAAGCTCTTAACACGCATCAGCTTCCAAGCAGCCCAAGGAGGGAGGTTTGCGAACGCCGGCTTATAAGAATGATCTAAGCTCCCCGCCCCTTGCTTTGCTTACGGAGGGGATGTACAAGTGCTCGAGGGTCTCTTGTCAGTCGATTTTCGCTTCTTTGTGCTCGTAATAGATCATCTCTAAGTTAGCGACATCCTATTACCACTACCCCCAACTCCTAACGGGGATCCCCCCCCCCCGATCTCTATCTCCAATGGCCGCCACCACCACCTTTCCTCGCCCCGATGAAGCGGAGGACTCAACCCCGCTCCTCGGCCAGGTAACCGGTCGAGATGAACTCCTCGCCCCGGACCCAAACATCTACATAGAAGTCGTCGAAGCGCCCTGGGACTTCATTTCACAGCGGACCGTGTTCATCGCCCGGTTAGTAATATCCCTGCTCATGAGCAGCCTACTACTATGGCATTTCGTCGTCGAAACCCTGGCTCAAAGGCTGGGGATATTCCCCTTCCGGGCAATGAACATATCGTGGATTGCTCAGGTGGTATATATGTGGCTGATGACCGTACATGCCCCCTACGCCCTCCCCAATATCCCGAAGAGTATCATGGACTAACGGATTGAGACAGTACTGGACCTACAAGACCACAGCCCCAGCTCATCACACCTCCTGGCCATCCTTCATCCCTACAATCCTACCCCCCTCACCTCCACCGCCGCCACTATTAATCCCAATGTGGTTCCAACGCTTCCTCAACATAGCCTTCCCATCACCGTACTACACCTTCAAGACATGTGCCCTTTACTCCTTCTACGTGGCCATAACACTATTCCCAATATGCGTGACAATACTATACCTTTCCACCCTCCTCCCTCACATTCTCTCCCACCCCCCTCTCCACCTAAGCGCCCCGGAGCTCCTAATAAGCACCCTCAACACACCCGTAGTCCTAGCGGAGATGCTCTTGCTGAACTCCGTGACGCCGAATACAACGCTGTTGTCTCCAGGGGTGCGAGCGCTGGAGATCGCATTCTGGGTGGTTGTATATGTGGATGCTTGGGTTTGGCTGGGGAATGCTGAGGTCGAGGGGGTTGGGGGGCAGGGGTTGGATTGGAGGTTTCTCGGCGAGGGGTGGGGTCGAGGTGGGATCTGGAAGACGTTTGGGTGGGTGGTAGGAGCCAATGCGGTTTATTTTGGGCTGTGGTGGGTGGGGGCCGGGAAGGGGCTGGTTATGAAGTGTTTGAGGGCCCAGAAGGTGAGGGGGAGGGGCTGTGGAAGGGAGGGTGTGTGTGAAGGGTGAGGATGGCGATAGGTGAGTGTGGGGGGGGGGGAAGAGGGTATGAGATGTGGAAGGTACTCTTGTATCATACAAATGGGTTGTATCGCAGGCGTTGCTAGACTACTGTTTGCACATGGTGCATGCCGGGTCCCTTCAGGACACTGTTCGGAAAAGGAAAAGGGCAATGGTCATCATGATACCGCGATATCATAGACAACACAATCGATAGAATTGCCCTCCCCCGTCTCAGAAACGAGACTAACCGCGAGTATAGTACTATATCATACTCCCGATTAGTCCCACAGTCCCATCCCACAATCACTCACAATCACTCGCCGCCGTCCCAACCCAAGCAATCGATCACAAAAAAAAAACCTTCTATACAAATTCGCAATCTTGATAAATTCATAAACACATAAAACTCCCCTCCTCCCCCCTTTTGTCCCTCCTTCCCACGAGCAACTGCGGACAGTATACGATGCGCCACTCCCACCATCCCATACTATCCCGCCCAACCCAACCCAACCAACCAAACCAAACCAAACCAAACCGAGCCAAATCCCAAACCAAAAACAAGAGTGCGAGAGGGTGTGCAAAAGGAAAAGAAAAAAAAAGTGAAGGGTAAGGGGTGGGCCATCAACAACTCCCTCGGCACTGAAAAAAAAAAAGGTAATACGAAAGAAAGCAATCTGTAATGTAAGCTGTGCTTCGAAATATGCTGTGCTTTTATCAAATTCACTGATGGTGGGATGGGAAGAGGCAATGTCAAACACAGAAAACAAAAACGAGACAAACAAGAAGGAAAAAAAAAAGAGAGGCGTGTTAAGTCATCTCTTTTAGCAATCTCGCTCCTTGCTACCCTCCCTCCGAGGGAGGCAAAGAATGCAATAACAAAACACAGGGTTGAAAAAGGAAAAAGTGCTATCTTCAGAAGAGCGAGCTATGGCAGCAGTTTTTGTCTCCCCTTCCGGTGGCGGTGATACTCGTAGTGTGGGGGGAGGGTGAAAGAAAATCGGTGACTAATAGACTTATGCGACAGCGGTATCATGGAATGAATTGGAGAGGGAAAGGATAAATAGAAGGAAAAGGTCGTGCAGAAAAGAGGTAGAATTACGATTGCGTTTTTAACGGAAAAGAAAAGGGAGAAAGGAAAATGAAGAGGTAGATTTTTTCTGGGTTTTTGATGAATGTGGGTGGTGGGTGTCGTGAAGACTGTGGGAATGGGTTTCAAGAGAAAAGAAAATGATGAGAAGAGAGAAGATCTCAAGATATTTCGGAGGTGATTGACTGATTCAAAGAGAAGGAAGGAAAAAAGAGAGCAAGACAATTTCCCCTAGAATGACAAGAACTACGGAAGAACACAGAAGCCGGATATAAAACCGTAGCAAGGAAAAAGGAAGAATAAACGGGGTACTGCGGGTGGAGGGGAGACTGATCCGATTTCCCGGTCGGCCAGGTCCTAGCTGTGTGAATAGCTACGCTCGTGGCCATTCACAGTGTGGGCGTGGGGTTGATGGTCATGGGTGTGATTATGCTCACCCCTTCCTCTGGCACTTTGTGTGCTTCTTCTACCCTTTGTAGTGAGGGTGCTCACATCGTGCTTTCCTATTTGGGGTGTGTTGGTTAGACTATCTTCCTGTAAGCGGGGCAGGGGTATATATGTGTACCATCACAGCAGGCTCGGACGTTCTCTAATCGGTCTGTCTCTCTCTCTTCCCGCTCAATTTGAAGCCTCAACTCTTCGGCAGAATCATTCACTTCACTAGCGTCATATATGCTAGCGTTATGCCGGCTACTTCGGGTGCTAAAAGTTGCCAACCCAGAAGTAGTCCTAAAGATGTTGCTCAGTCTAGACATACTACCTTGACGCATTGAACTCTCTCCAGGCCGTCGGTTAGAAAGCGAAGAAAGGTTTCGAGGGGGTGGTGAGGAGCCATGAGTTGTTCGAGAGTTGAAAGAAGACACACTGATAGCCCCACGCCCGGCACCTTGATAACCCGGGTTGAAATCATTGACGTCCTCAGCAGTGACACCATCCCCGTCATCGACTCCACCGCCAGTTCTTAGCAAAAGATATGAAAGGGCCTATTCATCTAGTCAGCGGTCTAAATCCACATGAGGTAAACCAGGGGTCTCTTACGTTGAACCATGTTTCGTGCCTCTGCCCCGTAGCTGCTGTAAACTTCAATGATCTTCCAGGCGTAACAATAACCAAACTCTTTCTATGCAATCCGGGTGGCATCGGGTTATCATCAGTAACAACTCGGACTGCCTCAATGGCCACACTCTTCGCCCTTAGTTCGGCCCTTCCGCCACTGGTAGGATCCCGATCACTCCAATAAAGTGTTCGTGTATAAGGGTGAACCCAGAAGAATCTCTTGTGTCTACTTGTGGATAGGGTTCCGCGTCCTGTAACCCTTGTGTACTTCCAGAGATACTCTCCTATCATAGTCTGGGTAATGGCTTGAATCATCCGGGGATCTGTGGCATTTTCGGGCCCGCCTGCTGAGCCATTGGTGTTCTGTGCTTGCATGTTGAACCTTTCGTCGATCTCAGATACGAACGAAGAAAGCGATGATCGGCGAGATGTAGGCGATGAAACCTCGCTTCTCGTGGTAGAGAATCTCGGCCGAGGCGTGGTACCACCCCTGGAGCTTGGCGTCTCTGGTGGCCGCGATGGACCATCTTGACCGGGAGTTCTGGGTCTAAAGGTCACACCTCCTTTATGTCCGGCACTTGATGGGGGCACTGGAGGCGGTCCCATTAATCCGGGCTCATGTGGTGCAAAAACCTTCTGCTGCGCTGCTGCAATAACCTCCTTGTGATCCTGTGGGAGAGGAGGGTGAGCATTACGATTATCCCGCATGCTAGATGAGCTCCCGGGGCGTCTTAGCGCAGCATTGGGATTCGGCCGAGGAGGCTCGCTACCAATTGCAGCTGCTCCGGCGATCCTAACACCGGTACGGCTGATACTTTCCTGTGAGGCTCCTGATCGCAGACTTGCCCCCCGCATTGAAGCTTTGTCTGTGTTGACACCAGTTTCACCAGCACCGACCATATATGCTGGCTGTTTACCCTTATCAAGCCTCTTTGCATTCTGGGACAACTCGTCAATGAATTCCGATGTTATATCCGTCTGTACAATTTGGTCCGACATAGGAACCGCCTTTGGCAATTGTGGCACTATCGGTTCTTGTGCTGCCTGCAATACCGGTGGGGGCGGTGGTGGTGCTTGCGGCTCTGGTGGGCCCTCCGATTCCAGTGTCTCTGCTGTCTCTTGTGCCCCCCGTACCTCACGTGCCCCCTGTGTCTCTTGCGTCGCCTCGGGTGCCTCACGTACAGCCTGTGTCTTTGCAAAGTCGGTCTTAGTGAGGCTCCTTGCAGCTTGGGGCTTGTCATTTTCAACAGGAATGGATGTCTCCGGCTTCGACGCAGTAGACCCGCTCCTCCTCCAACCACCAAACACTGATCCAAAGAATCCCGCCCTCTCAGGTGTAGTAGTGGTTGACGGGCTTGGGGTTGATGGCCTCGGGTGCGAATCCTCCACAGTCTCAGAAACCTTCTTCGGTGTTTCCTCATCGAGCGAACCAGATGCATCAGCGCCTCCGGCAGGAACAGGGACAGGGGGAATTGCACGTGGAGATTTGACAGGGGTAGGGGGGTCGATGGGAGAAGTGGCCTGTGTATTAATTTGAGAGAACTCAAGAGGTGGAATGGGTACGATCTCGCCCTCTTTCGCTGAGGTCATCATTGCTCTCTCAATCGCCTCTTCTAGTTCGCTCTGGCTGGTCCCAGCACGGACTACGGGTGACAGGTCCTCCTCAGGAACTGCTTGTGTACCACTTCCAACAGTTGGGGAAACATTTCTAGTATCGATAGCCGCCAGCTCGGACTCAAATTGAGTTTCAACACTCCTCACACTCCTTGCTAATGGCGGGGACACCGAACTGCCTTTACCGGGAACGACGAACGGAAGAGGCACGGGCGTGGGCAACAAGCTCCTACCAGCTTTGCTTACCGGCTCCAGTTCTGGGTCATAGTGTGTTTCTGTACCCTTCACAACCGGCCGATGGGCCCCCGGCACAACAACCGGCAGAGGAAGGGGTGCAGTGGCATTCCTCCTATTTGACTTTTCACCAAACTGAGTTCCGGTCTCGGCAGCCTGAGCTACAACTTCATCTGATTGGACCCCGACCCTACTGACAACATGCTTAAGCTCCTCCAGACTTTGAACCGCTGCATCGGCCATCTTCGGTTTTACGACATCTGGCTCGGGATCTGACTGTATTCCAACCGAAACAGTCGGGGGTGTCTCCTTGGCGGTACCGGTAGTCCACGGCCGCTCATGCCCATCAAAGACACCGGGTAACCGTTGCTGCTGCTGTTGATCTGGGTACGGTTCCTCGGTCATGACAGAACAATCGACCATCTGGACATACGGGAGAAGTCTCTTGGTTGGTGTATCAGGTTCCTCCATATCCTCATCCTCATCCTCATCACCATCAGCACCCAACATTGGAGTGTCGCCCAACTCTGCGAACAAGCTCTTTCGCCCACCGGGTATGGACAGCTCCCGCCGCGCGCCAGCCGGTGGCCCTCCCCCTGGGCTTGAATCCGTGGACATTGGCCTGTCGCTGAACAAACTGCTCCCTGATGCAATTCTGGATCCACCTCTGCCCCGGGCTCTGTTGATCCTCAATTTTAGGCGCGGGTTGGCCGGGTGGTTTCCGCCAACCATCATCTCAGACGAGCCCTCCATACCATCATTACCAGGCCCGAAACTTCCATAGCGATATCCATGGTCATCATCATCTTCAGTTGAACCAGTGGAAGCAACACTATCACGATAACGGCTCTTGATTGGTCCCCAGGGTCGCACGCTGAACGCCGATCCACGTGAAGCCTTCGATTTGAGTGTGGGACTGGTCTCAGTTTCGGTGAGCTCATCAGCAGATGTCGGATAATCAGCCATAGGGCTCTCATTGCCAGTCTGGAAGGCCTCAGTCTCCGTAGCATTAGCACCACGCTCATCAGCAGTTTCAAAGGCATCGGTCGCGTCACGATCATCGCTCCCTCGGTCGAAAGTTGGTTTTCCTTGCTGCCCACGCGGTGTACGTGGAGGTTCGGATTCAAGAGCCTCAGTCTCTTCCCACTCCTCTTCGACAGGCGGCTCGACCATTGTCACTTCGTCCCTGCTCTTTCTTGGCCCACCAAGGAGACCCGGGTTTACATTCGGGCGGAGAATGGGCTTTCTGAAGAATCCGTCATTCTTTCGCCGTTTTCCAACACTAACAGATGGGCCATTGCCCAAGCTGTTTCTCGCCGTTTCCAACTCGTCCCTAGCCTCCTGGAGCATGCGCTTGAGTTCTGCCTTCTCACCCCTTTCCCGATTCACATTGTTCTTGAGAGTGGCAATCATTCTGTGTGCATGATTAAGACTTGACCTCACGGTCTCGGCTTCGAGCATGGCATGCCTAGGTGTCTGCTTAGTCGGTGAAGGAGGGGGTGAGTTTTCGGGAGTGGTTTCCGTAGGCTGCAGGTCAAAAGGCTTATTAAGTGCATCCTCCCCATCAGGCCGTTGCTCCAATTGGCGTAATCGAAGGCTATTCTTTTGGATTTCCTCCAGCTGTTGCTTCAGCTCATCAACCTTAATCTGCAGAGCCTGACGTTCGCCCTCGTTCGTAGCCAGGTTCCGTCTCATAGCCGCAAGCTCAACCTCGTGATGCTTGTGCTCTGCCTCCAAATCCTCGTAGAGCTTCTCATTTTGGTGCTTCCAGTCGTCGAGCTCCCTAATCACCATATTTTTCTCATGCCCCATGTGCGAAATTTGGGCATGTAATTTAGTCTCCGTATCCCTCTGTGTGGCAGCCTGACTGTTCAAATCCTGGACAGCGAGCTCAAGATTCCAATTTTCTTCCTTGAATTTCTGCTCACTCTCATCAAGTGATTTCAATCGGGACTCTAAATTCTCCACATGCTGCTCGAGCCTCGACTTTTCCGTTGAAACGTCCTTCAAGCTCTCTTCGCGCTCCAAAAGCAAACCCCGTAACCGGCGAACATCAACAATGAGCTCTTGCCCAAGGTCCGTGGCAAATTTCAAGTCCAAGTCGTGTTGCTGTGAAGGTTGATTCCGTTGACGACGTGGGGGAACAGAAAGCTTGCTAGGCGAACCAGTCCCCTGTGTTTGTAAGGTGGAAGACGGCGAACCGGTAAGCTGCGCAACCAAATGAAAAAACCTGTCAGCTTCAAAGCCTAAAACTTCCCGGCAAGAAAAACCAAGTTATACGGATAGCACAAGCCGCAAACTAAACTCACATTCCCAATTCCATAAGGCGAAGTGTTTCCACTATTCCCACCATTTCCTGCCATAATCTTGTTTGTCAGAACGGCCCTAGCACTCTCCCGCCCGACCTCATTGTATTCCTTCTCCAGTTCCACTAATTTCTTCTTAAGATTGGGATCTATTTGCTCCCCCGCCTCCTCTACTTCTTTCATCCTCGCCTCGATCTGCTGCTGTTGTGCAAGTAACGTCCGGCCCAGTACTGCAGTGGTTTCAATTCGCTTATTCACCTCCTGCAGGTGAGCTTCCAGTGTAAGCTTCACCTGGGAAGGCGAAGACGCGGGTAACGAGAGATGGGGTGGAGGCTCCATACTTGAGAAACGAGAGGCCCCAGGTGGCTTTGGAGTCGTAGTTGACGGGTCGGTAAATGGGTCCTCCGTTTTGGCAGCCATGATGTCGATTTTGAGTAAGGGGTTCGGGCAGCCCGGACAAGTAGTCCACCCTGTCGGGCTGTCAACAGCGAGAATCCAAGGTTATGAAATGAGTGGACTGTGGTCGGATAGGTTGGACTGACGATCTAGTCGAAGGCGCGGCGTGGCGATGGCGGCCGGAATGGACGCACAGCAGCAAGGTTCAGGATAAGGTAGAGCAGGAAGCGCGCCAGCAATAATAACAAAAGCAACGGGGCAAAACACCAACTGACGAAGGAGTGAAATTACAAGGGAACAACTAACGCAAGAAAACCCCGACCAAGACAACGCAGATGATGACGATGAAAGAGGATCAAAGGAACAATAAAATAAAAATGAAAAGGCTGCTACGAAAGATGAGGCGCTCTTGAAGAAAGAGGGTTTGTCGGATGTGACAAAGGAGGGGAACGGCAGCGGGCGAGAGGAGAGTTGTCTAAATGTCTGACTGACTGGACTGGCCACCGTGGGCAGGGAGAGGATGGATGGATGGATGGATGCCCACCACAGATGTCGGCACTAAACCTAGGAAAAGGAAAGATAGAATTGTGCTTGAAACCAATGGACGGAAAGCTGGCGGCGTCGGATTGGATCCAAGGTGAGGCACCCTATCCAAGCGGGGTTGAGGGAAAGACGGTTTGTTGTTGAGGAGGGGGGTGACTGGTTACAATTGGATTTCGGGGCCGCTGCGCTGCTCTGCCTCTTCTGTTCCAGGTGGCTCGATCAGAGAGAAAGAGCTGCAAATGCACGAGCACAGGAGAGAGACAATCTTTTCTTGGGGACGTGGTGCCGACGCGCGCTGGCGAATTGCAGACAACCGCGCCCGATACTAAACTCGATCGTCAACACACCAATCAGCACAACGGGCCACCCCCGAGCCACGCAGCCATCCACCCACCAGCAAGAAAAGTGAAAGAGGGGATTGGAGGGGGGAGGGAAGGGGTTATGTTAAGCGTTAGGTTATGGTATGCAAGGAATTGGGGGTTGTTGTTGCTAAGCACCCAAAAATATGCCCGCTGGCAATAACAATCCTGAGGCAACGGGCGTGCGTGGTGGTAAGTCAACGGTGGGCAACTCGGTGCTACCTAGTACAGGTGTGCAGGATACCGGTACCGTACTGTACGTGTTGTGCGAAGGGAGGGGGGCGCGGGAGAGGAAAGAGGGAGAGAAAAGAGGGAGGAATTCGTTAGAATTCAATGCAGCATCATCACACTTACCGTAATACCGATACAATTGACAGACGTGCAGAGCAAGAAGAGTTAGATGGCCGTAATGAGGGGGGCGGAAAGACTTATTACTATGGTATTTGCTGCGGGAGAGACTCGGTTTGACAGCAGAGTGGGGAGAGAAGAGGAGAGGGAGGCCGTCATAAATAAAAATAAAAATTCCGATAAGTTACTTAGAGTTTTCAACACTGTAAGGTACCAAAGGTATTAAAAATATTTAAAAAGGAGAACCTAAAAGGGGAAGTCTACTTGTATGACAGTGAGGGGGACAAGTAAAGGGAAACAAGTAAAAGGAGTGAAATGAGTACCGTATGATACGGTACGCGAGGTCGGAAAAACTGAGGGGGGGATGAGAATCAACAGACAAGGGAAGAGGGAGAGGGAGGGAGAGAGGGGGAAGGGAGCGTAAAAGAGTGCCAAAACCAAGTGACGAAATATCATGCCGCCATCTTTCTCATATCATACTTCCTCAGCAAAATACCGGTATGGTATGTACATTACGGTATGAAGTTATTATCATACCCTTGCTCCCCCTCCTTACTCATGTTTTGCTCTCCTTGAATCAGGTTTTGTTGACCCTTTTTTTTCCCCCTTCCCCTCAAAACAAAGAAACCTTCTACCGGTAACCAATTCCAAAGGGTCCTCCCCGTAACCCAGTACTGTACGGTACTCGCAGCGTACCTTACAGTTTTTCCCGTCTGAAGCGAGAGGATCAAGGATACGGATGTCTGCACTGGAATCACAGCTTAGGCTGACCGTGATGGCGCCTGCAGTTAAGACATTCCGCAATTGAGCAACCGCTTCTGGCTTCTCAATCATCCGGCTTCTTTGACCCCATCCGTTGATTCGAGTTTTCTGGAAGGGAAGGAAGTGCTACGGTACAAGCAGTCTAATCCCTCCTTCTACAAGTACCCTATCGTGAAGTCATCTCCTTTCCCATGTATGATGCCTTCTCATCGACCCGGGGCGAATAGGAAAATACCGTCGCCGGTAGAGTGGTCGTGCCCGAGCGCTACACCATACAAGTATGTACGAGTACTATACTCGAGTACAATTGGCCCTGGTATCGATACGCTCCAGGTAGGTTATTCATTTTATGTCAACATTCTTTCGACAATCCACTACAGTACCGTAGATCTACATGTCGCCTTCCCTACCCAATTTGTCCGCTCTTCCCCCCGAGTCTGCCATATCCGTAATCGAGTAGACACAAATGAGGGGGGGTCTGAGCTAACTCGAAGACCCCGTGGTCCGCAGCGTCGTGTCACTTGTTTGCCAAATCAGCTCCTTAGCCACATTACGCCATCATCGATCTCGTGGCTTTTCCCGACTTTGAGATTTCAGATTTTCCCGCTGTCTCTGGATTCGAAGCCCTTTTGTATGTAACAGCACTTTGTCAACCAAACATGTAGAAAAAAAGTGATGAGCATGATAGATAGGTGCCATGGACGGATCGTGGAGCATGATAGGGGGATTTTCCGATACTCGAGTACCGGTATGCCATGTGATGGAGTGCCGGCGTTGTGCCCCAGATGCACTCCCCCATTCAAGTGTCCTTTGGAGAAGGGGGGTGTGATTGATTGCCAGAGCCCTGTGAGCAACGTGGAGGCATCTCAAGTTCTATCTTACCCGAATGGCTTCCAGGAGACCCCGGCTTAGTAAACAGTGGCAAGGATCGTAACCTTTGTCCTCCAATCTCTTTCTCCGCATATGAAAAACTCCCGGTATCCCAACATCAAACCTCAAAAAAGTTATCATACCACCACCTCAACCACCACAAGACCTCAGTTTCTCCACTAAAATGACAGAGCCAACTCCCCAGCCCAAAGCCCTAGAAACCGCGGCACCAGCCCCGCCAGTAACCTTCTTCAAACGCTCCACGAAAAACCGCTCTTCAATCCGAAAGCGCCCCACCACACCACCCCCCGCCACCACCTCCGACTCCTCAGACGCCTACTCCTCCTCAGACGAAATAACACCAAGCATCAAGAAACGACGAAAAAACAAAAGCGTCGTGACCGCGGAAACCACCAGCAAACCCAGTTCTGCCACACTGGGGAACCCAGAGGATGTGAAGCGCAAATACACAGACGTGAGCAGCGAGTTAACGAGCGCAAACGACGCAACGAAGACGAACTGGCACAACCACGGTGACCGTGACCATGAAACGCCTTCCTCATCTTCAAAGAAGACAGCAGAAGTGGGGGAAGAACCAATAATGGGTGGGACGTACAAGGGCACATCATCCTACACCACCTTCATCAAGAAGTCCGAAAACGCCCCCGCCCGATCCATCGGTCCAATGAAAGCGCCCAGTAACATCCGCACAATCACAGTCACAGACTACGCACCCGATGTCTGCAAGGACTACAAGCAGACCGGCTTCTGCGGCTTCGGCGATACATGCAAGTTCCTGCACGCGCGTGAGGACTACGCCCAGGGTTGGAAGTTGGATCGCGATTGGGAGATTGACCAAAAGACCGGCAAAACTAAAAATAAAAAAGAGGATGGTAGCGAAGGGGAGGATGAGGAGGGGAAGGAATTAAAAGATATCCCCTTCAAGTGCGTTGTTTGCAGGGGCGATTATAAGAGTCCCATTGTCACCAAGTGCAAACATTACTTTTGCGAGACCTGCGCTATCGCTAGGTATAAGAAGACGCCGAATTGTGCAATTTGCGGGAAGAGGACGGACGGCGCTTTCAGTATGGCGAAGGAGTTGAGGAAGAAGTTGGAGAGGAAGGCAATTAGGGAGGAGGAGAAGAGGAAGAAGGAAGAGGAGGAGGCAGCTGCCGTGGAGAGTAATTAGCTGGGTGGGCTCTTGTTGCCTTTCCTCCTCAAACTGCTTTGTGGGGTTGGGTGATGTGTGTTTGTTCGTGGTTTCTCTGCATTCCACGTTTGGCGTAGGTCTGGTCTGGATTGTATTGTATTATATATAAGCTATTCATTCGTCCTTCCGGACGCTCCTTCAGCCACCATTTCGAGGTCCTCACGATATCCAGTGGCCGCCGAAATACCGTGCTCCAGCATTCCTATGATACCAGATACCATCAATGTGTACAGTGCAATTACAACAATGGTATTATATCGTACGTATTCCAGACCCTACCCAGCCCGAACATAACATGACATTTCGTGATAAGCCACCATCTACACTCAAAGAAAAGAACCGTATAAAATTACGTACAGTCCCTGGGTGTACAGTACCTCATAATATGTACATAATACTCGTACAAGCAAGTTAAGGCACAGTAGAAGAGAGGGTGTGTGTGACTAATGCCCTGTAAAGATCGAAAAAATATGATACAGCGCATGGACCCCCCCCCATTCCGCCAATTCAATACACCTGCTGTACTCCACTTAATCCATCTATACGATATCAGGGAATTGTGAAAAGACAAGAAATCTAAGCGCATATACCGGCACGAGTATAGTATAGATTGGAAATACACACCCCTCCCCCATCTAATAAGCACACAGATAGGTCCAATAAAATCAAGTCTTCTTCCAATCCTTCACCAAGTGCCACAGAAAATGCATTCGTCTCTTGGCCTCCTCTCTCATGGCAAGCTTATGCTTGGAGCACTTTGCTTCCAGCCACTGCACAAAAGTCTTCTCCTGGTCGGTCGCCGCAACATTAATCGCCCTCTTCAAGTACTTGAACACAGTACCATCCGGCACTTCCCCACCGGCGATCAACTTATCCACGACCCAGTCCAGGCCAGCAGAATCCCCAATGTCTATGTACGCCTTCATGAGCACTGTCAGGCTCTTCTTCTCCCACGGGAAATTCGTGCCCCAGCGGGTTTTCGAGATCTCGTGCAGGAGGAGGACTGCGGCGCGGGGGTTCTCCCCTTGGATGAGACGCCATGCCGTGTGCACGCTTATGTCGTGGGTTATTGGCAGCTCAGCGGCCTCGAGGAATGTGTATACTTCACGGATCTGGGTGGAGACGGTGAGGTAGGCTTCTGCAGGGTCGGTATTCCGTGGCGGGAGGAGGACTTCGAAGGATCGGAGGGCAGGGGTTTTGCTTACTTTGACGCCGCGGTCCTCGCAGATTCGGAGGAGTCTGTATGCTTCTGGGAGGTTGGGACTGGGCAGGAAGAGGATGGCACGGATGGCGGAGGTCACGATGGGGATGGAGGGCCTGATGCCTCTTGAGAGGTGTTTTTGGAAGATGTCGATTGCTGTGGTGAATTGTCCGTGCTGGAGTGCGTGGTCCATTGCTACCTCTTCCCCGCTTTGGTCTACAGGTTCTTGCGAGGGTCGAATTCGGACTCGTTGCAATCCTCGATATGTCGAATGCACGAGCATGTCCTTCGTCCGCTGGTTGACTAAGGAGTCATTGTTTTCTCGGATAATAGCGTAAATCCTTCGTAATAGGGGGGGGACCGCATCGCCAGTGTGGCGAATGGTTTGGAACAATGTATTCAGAGTTGTGGCATCCGGTCCAGTCCCAGAACTCACCATTCGACGAGCCCAATGCTCTATACCGGGCTCGTTCCATTGCCGTACACATGAGTGGATCATAATATTATAGGAATACGAATCTGGCGATGTACCTCGTTTCTCCATCTCATCAAAGAACTTCTCCAGATCCTCTAGGCCAATCAGGGTAGAGTAAGTCTTCAAGAGCATGTTAAACATGGGCGCCGTGAGCTGTACTTTCTTCATCTCCATCTCCTTTAGGACGTTTGCCGTACCTTGCCAGTTCTGCTCCCGAGCATATGCCCCCAGAAAAATTGCGTAGGTCCCCGCGTTATGCTTGATACCAAGTTCCAGCTTCACCCGCGCATATCCCCTCGCTATGTCCAGTCTCCCAACATTGATTGCAGCCTCGATCAATACGTTGAACACACCGACGTGAAGTTTTACCCTTGACTCAATCATCCACTTGAATATTCTCTCCATCCTATGAAACGATCCACTAATAATCTTCACCCCGCCAAGCAGTAATGCAAACATAGTGGAATCTGCCATCCACGGCGGCCCCCCCTTCCTCAGAAGTTCTCGCAGCAGCTTCTCCGCCTTGTGCAATTTCCGCATCACGATGAAATTCCGCAATCGATGTCTCATAGTTTGTATGTCCGGCTGCACCCTGGGCCTGTGGGATTGATAGGTTGAGATAACTTTGGAGCACATGCCCATCTCAATGTACGCCTCCAGGCATATATTCAGTGCGTAGGTGTCGACATGCTTCTGACCGGCGACATGCATCCGGTGGAATATGCCGGGGATCTCGGAATACCGCCCCCGCTTCCTCAATGCTTTCATCAACGCCTTTCCCACGATCTTGACCTGCTCGCCATGTTCACCCTGCTGGAGCCCCTCCAGAAACCCCCTCCTAGCCTCCGATGGCTTCCCCTCTAGAATGGACCGACAGCACCTCAGTACCCAAATCCTTGACGAGGCACTTTTGATTTTATCCTGGATCGGGATCGCATTTGAGGTAGTGGCAGCAGCCCTCCGAACGGACACCCCCTGTGGGATTAACTGACGACGCCGGGAAACGGACGTCGTCACTGGTTTCGTGAGTGAAACACTGGGCGATGATGATGGCGGGGTCTCTGGACGAATTGGGTTCCACTGCTCTTTAGGCACCTCCGAGGAGCAGACCTTTGTCTGCTGGGAGCAATTGCTGTTCTTCCGTCGGACGTTGAGTCTAACGCATTTGGCTGTGAGCCCGTGATGGAGCGGTTCGCAAGGGCAATGGAAGAGGGTTTGGCGCACATAATGAAGGGCGTTCTTCGAAGGGACTATGGCATGAGTATGAGGTATCATCATACTCCTTCGGGGGATTCTGGCGGACGTGTAGAAGTGCCCTCAAGCATCGTGCAGGAGGAAGTGGGGGGGTTGCTAAAGTTTTTTTTGCCTGAGGAAAAGCCACCGATTTTCCTGTCTAGAAATCGTTTTGATATTTTCAAACCTAACCCTATACACTTGAGTAACCTACCGTAGTGGCTCACAAACACTCACTCAACATCAACCGACACCCGTGAAATACCACAGCCCCTGTTTTCCTTCAACGACCTTTTATAGCCATAATTATAATACCTCGAAAAAATATTAGTGCAAGCTACCGCACCTGCACAACGACACTTATTCTAGACTCTGAGGAATGGTCTTGAATTAAAAGTATATTTTCTTGTAGTCCCAAATTGTATCCGCCCAATATCCCATCTAAATAGCCGCCCCAATCCAACTCCACTAGCAAATAGTGCAGTAATACCTTAACATACCGAACGAATAGAAATGAAAAGAGACGAGAACCAATTCGCCAAACCCTCAGGATCTGTAGTATCATATCCATGAGACCCAGTATCTACCCTGATGACAAGAGGGGGGCCTGCTCCTCCTGAGTCTCCTCTTCTCCATCACCCTCATCGGCATCGTTCCAAAATACTCCAGGTGTGAGGAACAGGGAGCAAACAACAGCAATCCCGAACGTGGAGGATAAGCAGACAAACACGGTTTGCGGATAGGTCGCTACCGTCGATGCGTATACCAGATTGAAGACACTTTATAATCTCGTTAGATCACTCCACTAGTATTCCGGCTGCAAAAAAGGGCACCGTTGAGACATACGTTGGAGCCACGACTCTCGCTAATGAGTGAAGAAGGGCTGTGGCACCAAGGAGTTTCCCAGTTTTGTCCGGGGGTATATGCTTTGTAAGAGACGATTGCAGAGTTGGCGAGCCAATACCCCCAAGAGCCGTTAATACACCAGCGGTTGTAAACTGGCCCCCTCTCTGTGCGAGTGCGTAACTAAGGTATCCCGTGGTCTCAACAGCAATCGAGAACCGGATCAAGCTATGTTTTTCATAAGAATACGAGTCTCGAGTGAACAGGGATGTGACATAAGATTAGCCATACTTAATATCGAGCGCATCGCATCCCCTGTGTAGGTTTTGTTCCGTCGATCCACGACGAAAGAAGGTGACTACGAGTGGGAGCACTACAAACAACATCGTGACTCTAAAGCAGTTAACAATCGAAACATATATAGACGACTTGGGAAACCGGTCAAGTTAGCACAGCTTATTTCCCGCAGATATTTCAGGAAAGTACCTCAAAATTCCCCCAATCAAACTTGGCTTCTGCGTATATCAGAATCACTGTGATACTTCCGATGCCGACCCCAAAAAGAACGCAATCAGTGGCAGCCAAAAGCATCAAATTCAATCGTAACCTTGCGCTTGAACCCCGCCCGGTTGGGAATAGGATTGTGAGAGGCCGTAAGAGGTTTGTTGGATTAAAAGAGTCCCACCAATGTTTAGGGGTTCCCTCTCGCAGTTCCATCTGCTCGCGCTTATGCTTTTCCCTCGCAAGCACCATCCGGCGCTCGGACAGAGATTCTGGCATGAAAAACACGACATAGGATATAAAAACGGCATGTGCTCCCTGGTGCAAAGATGTCAATATTGCCAGGCTTCTGGGTATCGAATAACAAGACTGACCAATGCGAGGTAAAATACAGATAGTATGTTATTTGTCTTTTCGATTAACAAACCCCCAAGCACTGGTCCGATGGCTATTCCGAGGAAAAGGCACCCTTGAAAATATCCAAAGGCCACAGCACGTCGAGCAGGAGATGTGCAATCTGCCCCATATGAGTACGACAATGCCATCCCTAGCATGAAGCTGCCACAAATGCCATCGATAAGTGACCCAAAAAGCAGAATATCCACACTAAAAAGGTCCGGATATTTCGCTGCCAAAATAGTAGTGATTTCACTCGCAAGTAGGCCAAAGGAAGAAAAGGCCATGGCAAGCCTTCTTCCGTAACGGTCCGACAGAGACCCAAGCCTTGGGGAGGTAAAGGCACCTGTGCCAGCGGATCAATTACAAGCTCATTTACTAAGGTAGGAAGAAGCCTACTGAGAATGCCCGCAACAAGGCTCATATATAACATGAACTTAGAGACAAGAGCTTGCACCTGATTTGAACTTAAACTTAGAATAGAGCTCAAGAACACACAGAGGCGTGATGGCACATAATAACCTCAGGTTCCTTGCACTGTTTGTCATTCTCACCTCCCATCAAAACAGGTAGGATGAGATTTCCCGTATATCCATTATCTGTATAATACTGTTGGCATATAAGAGCTAGAATAACGTTTAACCGTGGCACAGTAACACTGCAATAAAGATATTAGTACTTATAGAAACTCCCTTCTATATTATATATTAAACAGGAGCTCTTACCCGCCAAATGCCATAGTGAACAAGCAAAATGGTGGCAGCAGCCAAAAAACCTAATGATCATTCAGCCTCACGTCCTCCACACAGGTGAGATCGAGGTTTATCCTACCGACGGTTTCCGGTGCCATGGAACCCCCTCCCAATCGTCAATTTCCCCAGCCCTCGTGGGAGCGCCACCCCCGCTTCCGTACATCAACGGCGATGTTTCCCTTGCTTCCGTTTCCTCATGCTGATACCCCTGAGAGTCAGGTGTTCTTTTCGGGCCTAGGCCTCCACCAATTAATGATGACCCGGACACTCGGTTCCCACCTAATATTCCTTCTGCTCCGGCTTCGGATCCAATCAAGGGATCCTGAATTGGCGAGTCCATAGTTCACCAAAGATAGCGATGTGAAAGCGCAAAGTTTGCGCAAGATGGCCAAAGGAAAACCCTCACTTCTTACCAGGTGAAACCCCGGGGCTGAGGAAGCGGTGATAAAATAGACAAAATGCGCGCGGTTTTCTCTGAGCCGAAAGCCTGCTTATTGAGCAGGTGTTTATTAGTGATTGGTGACCAACCCCTACTAAAAAAGGAGGCAGGAATCGGTGTCTCCAGAGATCGGTGGAATGAAGGGAATCTCAGGTATAAGTCTTACGGCCTTCTCCCCCACAAGTGGGGGGGGGGGGAGTTGTTGTATGATACAAGTACCGGTACTCGGACTGTACATGATGAAGAAGATAGGGGGGGGGTGATCTACCATAGGGAACAAGCTAAGAGCCACTCAGGTGCCCTAATTGACACGGGCATTATCATGGATCCCCGAGACACGAGATCCTTGGCTTACCATACCGGCAGCCCCACGGCCGGAGCGGGCAGAAAAGGACGAATACCGGTACCACAATTGATGTGGCCAAGACTCCGGTAAGCCTGCCCTACAGGTATTAGTGACTTTGCGCAAAGACTCTGGATGTGGGTCAAACAGGGCTCTGGGCCAATGAGATCGCTAGAATTTGACTCTGGATGCGAAATCGCAAAGTCTCCATTACCGGTAAAACGCGGATCCCTCCCTCTCAAGAGCCTTTGTCTCTGAATCCGGGGATTAGAGGCAAGCCAGAGATGGCGAACCACAAGAGATCTTGGACGCAAGCGCGGTGTCGGTACCGCGCAACTCCCTATATGGCATAGCGCGCAACCAAAGCACGATAGCAATGAGCGCCAGCCTTTGATGCGATTGCAAAATCATTTAGAAACTCGACCAGTAGTAGCTCAACAAATTCAAATATCTCTGCCGTAAAACTCAAACATCTGCGACCAGCACTCTTCAACTCTCGTCAGACCGCCATACCGTATGTACCGTGCCGTATCGTGTCACATTGCAAAACACTCTCGGATGGGGGGAATCCAGAGCCACCCGTGCTATGGTACGAATTTTGTGAAGTGAACCCACATACCCTGTCATACTGCACTTTACAGCGCAGAGACTTGTCTTATGGCCATTTTGATATATGATCCTTTCAGCTCATTGCCCCTCATACAAACCCCTCTACAGCGCTAGGGCTCGGATGGATACAGGCCCCGATCCAATGACCATGCCACCTGCCACTTCCTGATTACTTTCACCGGACAAATAAACCTCCAGTAGCCGCAATCTCCGAAGCGGAACGAGGTCTAGAAGGTCCCGATCGTCAATGAATTACGGTACTCTAAGGCTCTCGTTAGTTCCTGCAGAGCCACTTTCCTCAAAACCCAGCAGAAGATGAATAATGGAATCACCCCCCCCGGCAATTTCTCTCGGCCGAGACGGTTAAGGTTATCGCCCCTTCCGGGTATGATACTACCGCAGACCATTGAATGGCATTGGGCCATTAGACTACTTGTACTCGAGTGAATCGATATGATCCCTATCACCAAAGGAGGTTCGGAGTTATCTCAGAACAGAACACATGCTACGGTACTCCTGACCCGTGCTCAAAAATCACCACGATAGTACTCTTTCATCCCAACATTTCCCCCTTGGTTTTTCCGTCGGCAGCTGGTAAGCCCTCGTAAATTTCGGGTTCCTGCATCCCACCACCCTACCGCTCGCTAAACCTGGCAGCTGTCGCATGTGTTCCACCCCTCGCAGCTAGGCTTCACATTACCGGTAGAGCATGAGACCAGTGTTGGCGGTGACCGCTGGTCACCCCCAAAATCGACGACTACTGGTCACCCCCCTATGCCATGACCAGTGGTCAGGACTGGTCACGGCAGGGGTCAATGAAATAGTGGGTTAGGGTTTGTGGAAATAGAATCGTAAATTTCACTGAAAATTACCCAATTTGTGGCCTCTGAGCACCCCTTGCTAGTAAAATATACAAAACATAAGAGCTATATCATATCATACATCCATACTACAGTTATAATAGAGACTTTGCGATTTCGCATCCAGAGTCAAATTCTAGCGATCCCATTGGCCCAGAACCCTGTTTGACCCACATTCAGAGTCTTTTCGCAAAGTCCCTAATACCTATCATGGGTGACAAAAAGCAGTCCTCCAATTGTAGGTACTCCAACATAACCCTAACAACCCATCACCTCCCATCACCCCCTTCCACTGACCATATTCATGGTCAGCACTGGTCAATTCATCAGCCCTGGTCACCGCCAACACTGCATGAAACTACCCCCCCAAGAAGCTGAGGCTCAAGGGTGTACAGTGCAGTACCGGTATGAGCGCCCAGAGTGAATACCGGTATTCTAGAAAAACCCCGCCACCACTGTCCGCTGTCTTGTTTTCCCCGCATGATCCCGGTTGGGGAGCATGGACACGAACTTTCTCCGGGGTCAACCTTTTCACTAATACCTAATATCGTACAGGTACCATATGCCCGGTAACGGTATCGAAATGCAATGTTCCGGACTACCAAAATCTGCCCTCGCGCAACTCGATTCAATGTTCCCAAATTTGGAAAATCCTCTTCTTGAGAAGGTCCAAGCATACTACAGTTCCCTATGGTAAAATTACTACTGGTAGATAATGGATTAGAATCGGTATATCGTTTCTGTTTTCATCTAAGGTTATGCAGGTATCTGTTGCTGTTTGAGTCGGAATTAAAGATGTTGCACATCTCCGTCAGGTAGCACCTGCAACATCATTCCATCCATTGATTCTGAGCGCGTTGACAAGGTAAAAAGTAAATAAAATAAAATAAAATAATTAGAGGCTTCGGACTGGGGTTCTTTACAAAACCACCAGAGGAATTATTTCCAAAAACCCTTTCTCGAACGCTGACTGTTGATAATTCGGTATGTCCGGATCTCCCAAGACTTGGGATGGAGAGCAGGTTCTGGTTGGCCAGCACCGTACGCAGAAGCTAGGGGGGGGGTTGTGCTACAGTACCAGTCCCATGCCGATATCAGATGGAAAAGGATTTTCCTTTCCCCCCCTCACTCAAATCCGGGCTGCGGGTCCTGCGGGTCCCGGGAGCGCGGTAAAGCTTTGCACTACCAGTAGATCAATCATGTCTCTCTCATGCTTCCAGAGATTTAGTACCGGTACCAAATAATGGAGCGGATCGTCATTTACTCGAGTACATGCAGCCTGCACCTACTCATCACAGCCTCCTACCGTAGGGGTATCAATTGCCCACGCCACTGTGTAATTTTGGCATGAATTTTCTGTGTTCTGTTGGATTGCTGGGTTCCGAGCGATGACATATGAGCCTCTAGTACGAGATTCACACGATGGTTGGACACAGCTCTATAAAAGGGATGAGGAGAGCCGCGGATTTTTATTTTTTTATTCTATTTTATCTATATTCAATTTGCTTCTGTGGATGTTTGGATGTTCGTCCAACGAGAAATGGACGGGACAATGCATCTCACGGAACGATTTCCGGTGCTGCCGCACTCGAAGACTTCCAACCCCTCGGGAGCTATCGACGTCGGGAGGGTGCGGTTGTCCCTTTAGCACATGGTTTGTGATAGAACCCGTACCGTATTTCACCAGAAGTGTATGTCTAACAACGTATGATAACAAAACGGGGAAGCAGGTGTCCCACGAAGCGTCAAAGGGAATGCTTACCGGCTTGGCTGCTGCGGAGACAGAAAAGCTTATTAGAGAGAGGGGCCTGGATATGCTGTACTAGCATCATACACGGGGGTGAATGGGCCGAGCATACTTCTAGACAGAATGCTGAACTGATGCATGATACGACGAACACTACTACGGTGACGATGACTAGTACGGTACAGCCCCAACATCCATAGGCCTCCTGGCCTATTAGAGCAGTATAGAGATCACGGGCACAGGGGTTACAATCGCGGGAGACACGAACGTGGCGATTATTAGGAGCACGGGAAAACTTGGTGTCGGCAAGGGCAGCGCATATTAATGAGTCTAAGCATGGAACTACCTTCTTGAAAGTATTATTAGTGTATATAATTTGTACGGGGTTCTTTTCCAAAAGGAATGTTGACTGCACATTAAACTTGTCATAATTATGATTCGAATTTCGGCAGGGCTCTACGACAACATCCTTCGGACGCTTGTAAGCGGAGTTCAACGAGCAGCCAGTATATTAAAATGAGCGAGTGAGGACGAATGATGCGGATACCCCCGTATAAAATATTTCTGGACACTATTGGCTTAGCGTAATATCACAAGTATGTTATGGGACCCGATGCTCGTACTGTACAGTACCGGTAGATTGTCTGTGAGGAGGCTGGTGTTTGGCTGTTTCCCTAACAACCTTCTTTCGAAATCTGAGTTGGCAATTCGTGTCCTGGGTTAGGGTTTAGGCCTCTGGGCTTCGGGCATCCGATTTTCCAATGTCCAACTCATCGAACCTTAGGACAGAACCCATCCGATCGAGCCACCTCTTGAACCCAACGGAGTTTAGTAGATTATTCGCACCATACGCCTGAGTGTTCAGTACGAGAGAACTACTGGTTCTCAGGCGTGGGGCCATTCATCGCAACAAGGGGAGGCCGGCGAGGTCGAGACCGAGCGTTGTTGGGAGAACACTCGAGGAGCCGTTCGCAGCGATAAAGTGGGAAAACGCAAGCAATTGCCCAAAAAGCGAGGAGGCAACAAGGAAAAGAAAAAAAGAAGAAAGGGAGGACAGCAGTGCCTTGTCCATGCTCAGATACGATTTTAACCACGGGCTTCCATTTCTGTTTCGAGCAATAAACTGCGTGCAGAAACGAGCTGATTGGTAGGCTCAGTTTGACGCAGAGATGAAAGTCACTGATAAAAGAAAAAAAAGAAAAAAAAAAGGCCTTCTATGACACCAGCGGGGAGTAGGGAAGGAAAAAAAAGAAAAAGGAGTGTAGGGCCTTTAGTTAGCCCCACAAAGCGCCGTGCTATCATGCCTGAGATAAGTGTTTATATCTTTACAGGTGGTGGTGCATACGAGAGAGTACGGGTAGAAACAATCAATACACCCGCAGTGGAGTCTGATCTCGAGGCTCTCTCAGTTTCTCTTTGTGTCTTTGGAAGACAAGATGTGCAGCGGGAAAAGGGTTATTGCCGGCAGGTATTATACTTACCAGAGCAGTACCATTATTGGGTAGTAGCATTGGCGATGGAATGTTGCACGGTTCCTCGAATATAGTGCCGGTAGGCTATGGGAGTCTTGGGATGGAATGGCGAGTTGAAACAGGCTGACGACTAGCAACCCGAGAAAAAACTTTTTTTTCGCACTGTTATCGTACCCGTATATATGGCTACTGTCAACGTTTTCTGGGATTTTTGCCAAGCTCAGACCCGCCCGTAGATCACGTGTGCCCAAGCCTTTTGCCCCTTAAAATTGGTCCTACATTTTCACCGGGCAGCGTGTCCTTGTCTTCTGTCTCCTGTCAATTTTCTCCATCAGCAATCATCAAGTCAAACCAGCCCCTAGCCCTCCAGCCAGCAATCAACCCCCTTCGATAGTCAAACGCAAAGCTTCGTTTCTCGGGCAGAACTCCTCTTTTTCAAGGACACAGCACTATCTTTTTCTTTTTATTAAGTAAAAGCCTTCCTGCTTTCCTCCACCTGATCGACAAGCACCCACAAAAGAAAAACATCATGTCCACCAACGCCACTGAGACCGTCGCCGCCGCTGCTCCTGATACTGTTGAGACTGTTACCGATGTTCTCAATGATGCTACTCTTGCTCCCAGGACCGAAATTAGCGAGGCAGATGCCGCTCATGCTGCTTCTGCTGCTGAAGGCAGGAGACTTTACATCGGGAACCTTGCGTATGCTACTACTGAGGAGCAGCTAAAAGAATTTTTCGAAGGGTTTTCTATGTGAGTAACCATCTTTCTTTCTTAGGATGGCGCCCCTCCATGAACGTTGCTTTCAGTTCTTCCGTCGTAGCTTCGAGCTTGATGTGCTTGAGCAAGGCTGACATTTACTGCCATCTAGTGAATCCACTTCCATCCCCACCAACCCTCGCACCACTCGTGCTGTTGGCTATGCCTTTGTTGATGTCACCACTAAGGAAGAGGCAGAGCGTGCAATTGCGGAGCTCAGTGGAAAAGAGGTTCAGGAACGGAAGGTTAGTGTTCAGCTAGCCAGAAAGCCTGGCACGTCTGGCTCCACCAGAAAGGAGGGTGAATACGGTGCACCTGCGGAAGGGCAACAGCAGGCACCTCATGAAGGGGCAAGAAAGACCAGGGGCAATCCCAGGAACCGTGGGAGAGGAAGGGGCCGGTCCGGACCCAAGGTTGGTTCTTTTCTTTTCTTTTTATATATAATCTTGGGGTGAACCTGACATCAGCGAAAGAACCGCCCGAACCGTGAGAATGGCGCCACTAGTGAAGAAGAAAAGTTTGCACCTACCAATGTTCCTGGACAGGCTCCTCCTCCCACTGAGGCCTCCCCCTACTTGGATGCTCCCGATACTTCAGAACATGCTGCCCCCAGTGTCCCCACTGGCCCGGCTGCTGAAGGCGAGGGTAACGTCGCTGGCGCGTACAGGCCAAAGAAGAAGAGAGGCCCCCCAGAGAATGGTGTCCCGAGCTCCACCAAGGTCATGGTGGCTAACCTCCCCTATGAGCTTACTGAGGAAAAGGTATGTCCTCCCCGATTAGGCCCATTCAACTATATTATTTGTTAACACCTATCCCACTTATAGCTTAAGGAATTGTTTGCTCCTTATGACCCCGAGTCTGCCAAAATTGCTCTCCGTCCGATCCCCCGTTTTATGGTTCGCAAACTTCAAGCACGTGGCGAACCTCGTAAGGGACGTGGTTTTGGCTTTGTTACCTTGGCCTCCGAGGAGATGCAGAAGAAAGCCGTTGAGGAGATGAATGGAAAGATAGTCGATGGCAGAGAGATCGCTGTCAAGGTTGCCATCGACAATCCTAAGGTTGAGGGAGAGGAGGGTGAACATGCTGAGGAGGAGAAGAAGGAGGAAGCCGGCGAGACCAACGGCATCAGCTCGGAGCAACCTGAAGCTCAGGCTATTAATGCCATTTAATGGATTGACGATGATTGGTAGAACTGGGGATGGAAAACCGAGCTTTTGATTCCGTTCATAGGCAACAAAGATCTTTGCGTATTGTTACGTTGCTTATGGGAGAGGTTGGGACACATTTCTGTCTTAGGTTCTATCTTATATGACGTGCTATGAAGAAAAAAAAAGAAATTAGAGGAGTGGGAAATGGGTTTGTGGGGGTCTTCTCACTCCTTCAATGCTATGTTTCTCTCGGCTTAACGATGATGGTGGGACTGAAATGAGTTGAGAGGTGACAAATTTCTTTGCTTGCCAGCGAATATGGTCTGGTTTTGTTTGCTTCCTTATCTTTTCTCAAATCATTGGCCTCCCAAGGGTTTTGGGGAAGGTGAAGGTGGCTCATATTGGATTCACAGGAGTTGGTATTAAAAGAATATTTTTTTAATCGCTCGAAAATGACCTTTTTGTGACAACTTGTTCCATTGCTTTTTCTTCTTTCCTCCTGAAAAGTTTTTATGCGGACTGGGGTGTGGATGTTGACGGGTCTCTTCGGAAAAAAAGAAAGAAGTCGAAATGTTCAATGCACTGCTCGTGGTGCGAATGGAGGCTGTGCTGGGAGCTTGTCCACAGCATGGCTCAGCATAAAAAGGATCACGGTGTCACGCATGTAAAAACAGGTCAAAGAAGAAAAAAAGGGAGAAACGGCCAGGAAGAGGCAGAAGGAACATCACACCTAGCACCTTTCAGAGCTACAATTTGCTATCCTTCACCCTCTTCATTCCCTTAACACCCTCCACAACGCCCTTCCTCGTGACACACTCCGGGTACGGGAGTGCCAAGGCGCCCTGCCTATGCCACGCCCCGCCATCAACAACAATCACATCGCCACTGACGTAGTCTCCCGCCGGTGACAATAGGTAGATCGTAGCGTCGGCAATCTCATGAGCGCGGCCGAGCCGCTGGATAGGGACCACCCTTTCCGCCTCACTGGCGATCTCCGGACGGGAAAGCCTGGCCATGCCTTCCGTGCCGGCTATGGGGCCCGGGGCTATGCACTGCATTTCACCCAGATTCCCATTAACTAAATAATTTCGCGGCCCGTGAGGCAACGTGAGGCGGTGGGGAGGGGACAAACATTACTAGTAATCCCATAAGGTCCCAATTCCACACACAGCACACCCGAGAGTGCATCTACAGCGGCCTTCGCCGCAGAAACATGAGCCTGGAACGGCGAGCCGGTATAATGCAGCGTGGCCGAGACGAATATGATCTTGCCGCGGGTCTTCTTGAGTTCCTCCAATGATGCCTTTACCGTATTGTATGAGCCCAGAACATCGATGTCGATAACGGCTTTGAACGCGTTGGTGGATAGGTTGTCCACCGTTGCCAGGAAATTACCGGCTGCTCCGCAGCTATTATCCCGCCCACCCAGTTAACAGCTGTTTACCACTCCCTTCTCCTTCAGAGGAGGAAAGCGCCATGGGGAGCAAATGTACATGACATAATCCAATCTTCCCAATTCCTCCACCGTCCGCTTCACCGCCGCGACGAGTGCCGAGTAGTCCCGCACATCGGCGGATATGCCGAGGACTTTGCTACCCCTTCGGAGTGTTTGGAGCTCTGCGGCTTTGGCTTCCGTCACGTCTTTTCTCCGTCCGATTATGCTAGCGTTCGCGCCGAGTTCGACCAGCGCTGCCACTTGCGTGGAGCAAATTGAGCCCTGTGGGATTTTGTCAGAGAGTGGGGATTGAACGGAAGGGGGGGGATTACGGCTCCGCCAGTGCAAAGGACTACTTTGCCTTCTGTTTAGGTTGAGTTGGTAGGTTAGTATGTCTATACAGTAGGCGAGGAGAATGTGAGAGTGTAGCGTAGTGGTCTAGTGGAGTCGTGGTGTTTTGACGCACCAAAGATCCCGGGGGCCCATATCGGGGACATGTGTCTCCTGTTCGTGGCAGACATTTTAATTCGTGGAGTAGAGTATCGAAGGTCTCGGGCGGGGAAGCCGCAGTTGTGTGTGTGAATTTATGCAGTGTGGTACCCGGTGTGGTGAGCTCTGAAGGAGTCCTGACGGTAACGATGGTGGTGGGCGTGCTCGAGTAGTTGCTGATTTAACATAGCTGAATGGGATGCTCCTCCATGGGTACAGCCCTTCCAATTTTACGTTGCGCGCCGCACCTCTTAATCAGGGTACCGAGGCTCAAGTCATCGGATGAGACAATTAATCATCAAGTTCGAGTGAGATATTGTGCCTGCAGCTGCCTCGGCTGGCCAGCTTGACTTATCGTACAAGTAGTCACCCGTGTGGGTACCACACGGGGCTGAAATGGAGTGTAGTTTTAAGTAATTACTACGCTTGATAAATAGCAGTTTACCCACAAAATCCAATGCTAGATACATATTGAAAAAACCACTAATAAGAAAAATGAAAGTCTTAAGAAATGATCAAAGTAAAAGAGAAAATAAGATCATACAAAAAGATGAATGGACAAATTCAGTGAGGACCAATAAGAAAGGTAGATAAAAGTAAACAGAATAAAAGAGAGAACAATCAAATCATAGAGTAAAAAAGGCAGAGATATTAAAAAAAAAGAAAAAAATAGAAAAACTTATATATGACAAACCTCAGAATACACAACATTTTTTGTACAACTTTTCTCCTTCATATACCGATATACTGAATCAGGAATTAACACTTTAATCCTTTCACTACTTGTTGCTCTTAATAATGCAACATACAATTGCCCATGTCCAAATGCCTCCTCATATAAACTAATTCCAACATGTTCTAATAACTGCCTCTGTGCCTTATTCATAGTTATTGCATATACTAACCCAATTGGAAACTTCAGTCGAATAAGGTTTACTGAATTATCTTGTGATACTTGAGAAGAGATGTGAATCTGAAGAGTCAAGACTTCAGTTCCTGCCTTTTTGCCTATTATTATAATATCTATAAAGTACAAAATTCAAAATCATATTAGTATAATCTTAACAATAATATACTCAATTAGAAAAATCGAATGAATTAATAAAACTTGCTATTCATCAGATTTTATAACAGACCTGTGATTGTAAGCCTTATTCCATTACAAAAAACCTTGACATAGATTCAAATTTCATAAAAGCATAACTGGTTTACCAACTTTTAAATATAATCAATGTGGTGGAACTCTAAAATATTGTAATATATTAAGATACTCAGAAGAATATATTATTTGCTAGTGATTCTTGTTAGAAACAGTGTTGGTACTAAGATAGGTCTTGATAGCTGAATCATGGGTTTGGCGAATAAGGAGTTCATTGTTGATATAGCTCATATCAATATTTCATGCTGTTAGAATATCTCTTTTAGCTAAAACCTCAATTGACACATTCAAAGAAGAGGTAAAAAGACTAAGCAGGTATATTTCCTCTATTAAATCTTGTATACTATTATCTGAAAGAACCATTATTGGACAAAGAATAATATGATTGAGAACAGAGGAAGGCTTGGTTGCAGTTCCAATTCAGAAAATATAATAGATATATTCTTTTTCTATTGTATATTCTTTGAGAATCATATCGGTGTATATTAGATAAACATTTTCCTCTAACTGTAGGACTTGAATCTGAGGCCAGTAGGTGGAATGCTTCAAAGTAGAGTTGACAATTTGTAATTGAGAACTACCAAGAATAACTGGAAGACATTGTCTAAAATCTCCTGCAAAAAGCATGGTTATTTCCTTCAAAAGAGTGAGAGTTTTAATGAATATCTGACAGCATTCTTGAAACTGCATGATATGCATATTTATATTACATAGTTGCTTCATCCCAAATAATAAGTAGGATTCAAAGAAAAACTGCAGCCTGAGGAGATCCATGATTGATTGAACAAATAGATTCAAATTGATTGTCTAGAATCAAGAGAATTTGGAAAATTAAATGTGCTATTCATCCTTCTTACAATAGTATTGTGGCAATGTTGCAAGATACTACTGCTAAAGCAATCTTGTATTCACTTTGAATTTTTGCAAGAGTTGTATTCTCCAAAAATGTCTTTGCTGTTCCTCCTGGCCTATCAAGGAAAAACATATCTCTAGCATTAATATCAACTGATCTAAGGACTACTTGAAATGCATATCTGCAGAATTTAACTGTGATTGACATCTCTGAAGGAGCCTATTTAATTATACTTGATTTCATGATATCTGATTATATAGTAATGTATTCTGATGTTGACTGCAAAGACTATATATAGTTTAAGTCAGATAAAGGTAATGGTAATTCAAAGTCATCTAACCCTTTACCCATATCAGAGAGTATCTCTTAAAGATGATATAGTCTACAGTTATATATTTACTCATCCGATGGACTCAGAACTTCTATACTATATTTCAGTATATACATACAGTCATCAGACAGAAAATCTCTATATATCAATGACAAATTAACTGAATCAGATGGACTTGATTTATATAATATAATCGTAAAAAGATTTCATAGCTGTTTTCCAGTATGAATTGAAGTTGCTTCCAACAGATGTGTATTCTATTTATTAACATCTTTAAGTAGTTCTAAGGCCATACAGGCTTCTCAATATCTTGATTTTACAGTACACTCTCCTAGGACTATTCTAAGATCGGTAAACAATATTGCTACTATTTGATAGTATAATAGTATTTGAAGATAGAAGAGTTTGTCAACTTTAGATCCTATGTAGTAGTTTTAACCAATAACACAACCTTACTCTCTTGGCTTCCAGACCTATTTTTTTTTATCAAAAACAAATGTAAATATAAATACATAATTCTATTAGTACTTATAATTTCAATATAAACTTTATATTAATAATAATTTAAGCAGGCATAAGAAGTATATTAATATACCTTGTTGGATAATCTGCATATAATAAATTGTGGCCATTGAAATATGTTAGATTCAATTTGAATCATACTTTCAAACTGGTATCTTGCTAGGACTAATCAAGCAATTGTACAATTCCTCTTTCCTCAGCTGGATTGAAGTATATTAACTGTTTGTCTTCCAAGTATAATGCTAGCTGATAAACAGCAGGATCCTTATCATGTATTTTATAACCAAAAATCTCATAGTATGCTTCA